CGCAGTAAACGAGGGCAAGGTTCGGACTGTTGAATGACACCAATAGTGAGTGCGACTCACCTACAGCTGTTGTTCTTTCGAAGAGATCGGTCTAAGAGGCTTTAGGGCGGCTCGGGTCGAATTGTGAAAGTGTTTGGGAGTTGTAAGTCGCTGGTAAGGCTCACATCATCGCGGGAACAAATGCGCCAGAACAGAAGTATGCCAGGCTGCGAGAAATACTCTCGTAGTCAAGCGGGATCAATGAGTAGCACAGAACCTCTCAGAAAGCACGTCACAGAATTTGGCTTCAAGAAATTGTGGCTTCTAGTAAACCAGGAATTATATCCAGGTGAACAGCTGGACCCTCTTTGCTTGGTGCAAGTGAGTGGGATATTTTGCGCCCACGTGATAGGCGGTTCTGTTATCGCATCCGTTCGATAAGGAACTTTTTCTATCTAGACTTTCGTAGTGGCGGCCAGGAAATTTCATACCGACGGCCAATTTCTTGAGGAAGGTCCTACTTTTAGAACAAGACCATATTGTTACAATGATTGTAAGCTCAGTTGAAGGTCTTTTTAATATAATATATGAATACTGACATTGTTTATGCAGCGCAAACAAGCGCGCCAAAGGCGCGACTACCTATACCGACGAGCTCTTCTTCTGCGAGACGCCGAGATCAGCGAGAAGCGAGCCAAGCTGAGGTCGTCTCTCGCTTCCGGCAAGCCTTTGGATCCTACAATCGCCAACGATAAGTCTTTGCGCAAGGACTACCAGTACGACGAATCTCGACCTGATCTCACAACCAACGAACAACTCGACCTCGACGACGAGTATGCTCAGCTTTCTGGAATTGTCGACCCGCGTGTGCTTGTGACAACCTCTCGAGATCCCTCCGCCAGGCTAGCAGCTTTCGCCAAGGAGATCAGACTTCTTCTCCCCACGGCTGTTCGCCTCAACCGTGGAAACCTCATCCTGCCTGACCTGGTGCGCTCCGCCCAGTCAGCAGGTCTCTCCGACGTTGTTCTTCTTCATGAACATCGAGGTACACCAACTGCTTTAACACTGTCCCACTTCCCCCATGGCCCAACAGTTTCGTTCTCTTTGCATAACGTCGTTCTCCGCCATGACATCCCTGGAAGCGTGCGTGGAACCGTGAGCGAGTCCTATCCTCATCTCATCTTCGACGGCTTCACTAGCCGTCTTGGAGAGCGCGTGGTTAAGGTCTTGAAGCACGTCTTCCCTCCCAGAGAAGCCATCACGAGCAAGAACAAGGTCGGCAACCGAGTTGTTACATTCAAGAACATTGAGGATAGCATTGAAGTCAGACAACACGTTTTTGTAAGGACTGGATATGACAGCGTTGAATTGGCTGAGGTTGGCCCACGAATGACGATGCGACCATTCGAAATTCGAAGTGGCACCCTCGAAAACAAGGACGGCGACGTCGAGTGGCATCTTACGCAATATACACGAACCGCCAAGAAGAAGAACTATCTGTAAGATCACTACATATTGCGAACCGGATCAGATATCCAACTCTTCCATACATCTGTTCTGCGGTCAACCGTAATTGGAGCAGAGCAAGAAATTGGTCACATGTTGGTGTGACAACTTTGATTCTATCTTCTCTTCAAGTTCTTGGGCAAGTTAGCACGTCGTGAGTGTGGTCACAATACACGATGGTGCAAAACAGAACTTGAATGGAACACCGGCGTTTGGAGTTTTACAATGCAAAATATCAAACTAGGTGGTGACGACTTTTAACAACCGGTGGTCATTTCATGATGGAAGGATTGAATAGACTCACAAAAGTGGACGATAGCTATTGGCTAGTGTTGGCCAACATCAGCATTTGAACAAGATTAGTAACGAAAGAATTCGTGCAGGCACAAGCATCAACATGGCTTTGTCAAACTATCTCTGGAGAGCACTTGAGAACTCAAAGCTTTCGTTTCATCTGGATATTCATACACACATTGGTCCTCGAGTTGCGATCATAGTCTACTCAAGTCATATTCAACGTTAATTAAAACCATTAGAACGAAACAAACCCTTGTCTTGGCAGTCTGTGAATAGAATCCTTAACGGCTCAGCCACAAGAACATGTCCGGCGGATAAGGAGCTAGCCCAGGACTGGCACATGTCAGTATGCATTCTTGTCGATCGGGTCTCAAATCCACGTCTTGACTTCACTAAAATGCTCAGCCTGCATGGCAAGGGGCTTATGGAGCTTCGCATTCGCAGTCAAACGGGTCATATTGGATGAGAGATCGGAAAAGCCCTTGACCAGGGTTGCCTTTGGAGACTGGCCCAGTTCACTCCCCCAGTATTCCCTGTGCTGAACATTCGCGTCTAGTGTTTACAGCAACCCGCCACTTGCGTAGGCAGCGCTCCGAAATTGCCGGGGTACAGTATTAGAAACCCTCATACATAAGCTGCGCATATTCTCACTCAGTCAGCAGTTGACTTTGGATGATTTTAGACCTTCTCTTGCCTCCATTTCCTCTCCCAAAGAATCGTCGTCAAACCGTCTTAATTGCCGATCTTAATAAGCGAGTGTTTTCTTTCCTTCTCCTTGTTTTGCTTCTTAATAGTACTGTTATCCCTGCCCGCTCAACCGACGAAGATCAAGCTTTTTCCGATCCAAGAACCTAGCTTCCCTACGTCACGCTACAGCGGTTGTTTCCAGAGTTCTTCCACTGAAAGACCCGTGCACCTTCCACTAAAAGTCAAGGGTGAAGACTGGACGCCACTGTGCACTGGCAGCGATTGGATACCTGGACATCATCCAATTCCGACCCATACCTACTATACATATTGGTCCTAGCGACAATCAAAGCTCAGTCGGGTAGCTTCATCTCGTCACTTTTGCCGGTCAGCCTTTTATTAGTCGTTTTTGCTTCTGCCATCATCACATCCTTCCCCCGCCATTGCTATATCCTCCGAGCATAACTGTTCATCATGTCCTACGATCAGTACAACCAGAACCCTTACCAGCAGGGCCCAGCTCAGGAAAGCTCTCATGGTTACAGCCAGGTACGCGCGTTCCCTTGACACTTAAAAACTGACCACAATCGTGCTGATTCGGATGCTGCGATTCAGACCAATCCATATGCGCAAGATGCGCCAGCCCATGGCAACAACCAATATGAGATGCAAGATTACTCGCAACAAGCTCCTGCTGCCAGCTCAAGTCTTTCGCAACAGGAATTCCTAAACCGCGTCCAGAAGCTTCGCGATGAGATTAAGGGTCTGACCACTGACATTGATCACATTGGTGTGCTTCATTCGCGAACTCTCGGCAGCACTGATGGGTCCGCAAACCACGAGCTCGAGCAGTATGTCTCTCAGACTCAGATTCGCAACACTGCCATCAAGGATGGAATCAAGGGACTAGAGCGCGATCTTGCAAAGACCAATGACAGCTCTCGCACCACAAAGAACACCCAGTTGCAATCTCTCAAGACCTTCTTCAAATCTGAGCTCGACAAGTACCAGAGCGTCGAGCGCGATTATCAGCAACGATACCGTGATCAGATTGCTCGTCAGTACCGTATTGTCAACCCCGATGCATCCGAAGAAGAAGTTCAAGAAGCCGCCAATGCCGATTGGGGTAACGAGGGTGTCTTCCAAACTGCTGTAAGCAATCCCCCAAAAGAAAGGCTGAGATAAGTCTCATGGGTTTCGTAACTGACGCATAATCTCCTTCAGCTGCGAACGAATCGCACCGGACATGCCAGCTCCGTGCTTGGTAACGTTCGCGCCCGTCACAGCGAGCTCCAGCGTATCGAGCAGACTCTCTCCGAGCTTGCTATCCTCTATCAGGAGCTTGCCACTATTGTTGAGCAGCAGGAGCCCGTTGTTCAGGCCGCCGAACAAAACGCGATGAACACTAACGAGCACATGATTAAAGGCAACGAGCAAGTCGAAGTTGCCAAGAAGCACGCCCAGAACCGCCGTAAGCTCAAGTGGTGGTGCGCTCTCGTCGTCCTACTTATTATCATCGCCATTGCCGTCGGCGTTGGTGTCGGTGTCAGTGTAGCCAACAACAACAAGTAGGAGACCGGGCCGTTGTCTTCGACGCTTCTAATGTTTTTCGCTACGATGCCGATGTTATGCTTATTACGTGTTTTTCATCATAGATATCTCGACGACGTTTGGGCTTTGTTTTCTCTTTTCGCTCGCAAGATCAGCGTATACGACATCTCTTTTTACCGTATACCGCATCCCGTACTTAATTTATATTCTCTCCTCGAAGCGCCCAAGCGCTGAGGCTCTCGTTTTGGTGGGCGCGTGGAGGAAACGGTCGGGGCTTTGGCCGCCAGACCCGTGGGTTGTTAATGGGTTTTATGGCTGTTTCTCAGGGTGGTTTTTCATTGTGGTCATTTCTTAGCCTAGTCATGTTTCCTTATCTTTGCTTGTAGGGTCACCTACCAATTCTGCGCAACGCAGCAAGAGGCGGGCGAACAAATAGGGGGAGTATCGTCGGTATTGTACGTATTTATGTGGAAACGTGATCCAGGAAACGTTCTGGGATGCATGAATAAGTGAAGAGATCCTACAAGATTTTATACCAGGCTTAGCATTTAGACCTGAGTCTGTTTTGAGCATAAGTTATTCAGGCACATAACAGGTTACGCATTGACGAAGAAACGACTTAATTTCTTGTTTCCTCCGATACACCATATATTTCCAAGCCTGTTGAGTACCTGCCCTGCGCCCATCCTCACAGATCCCCAATATGCCTAACAAAGAGATGAGAGAAGTGCTATTATATACAGGTACAGTAGGGTTCAGATGTGTGCATTATAGTTCCCAGCTGCAAAGCATTGCAATGGACTTCACTTGTTGGTGAGGCGAGACAGCTTCGTCGCTGAGTGAGCTCCCTCATTGGACAGAGGGTGGTGTGATCGTGTCCCGCATCCCATCCTAATTCAACGCCTTCCTTTTTCTCGTCTGCTCCAAATTCGTACACTTTACACGCCGTTCTGGCCGTTGATATTTTGTCTCATACGCATTTATTGAGGTCCCATGCGAAGGCCTCCAGGTCCGGCACCACCTGCCAACTTTGCTGCCAGCTTGGGGTACTTCTCCGTAACTTGGACTTGTGTTCGTGTGGCCTCAGCATAGGACAAAGCATTTACAATCTCGCCTTCGGTTCGGGCAAGCTCGGCGGCACGCTCGAAGTACTTGAGGGCAGCAGGAACATTGTTCTGCTGGAGGAGGAGCTGAGCCATAGTAGCAACGGCGATATCGCATTCGGGGTCAACTATTCGGAAATTAGTATATGTTCACAATTGTTTGGCTTGGACGTTACTCACTAATAAGAGCCTTCTTGCAAAGGGCCTCGGCCTCCTTGAAGTCTTGCTTCCACTGGAAGAGAGCCAAGGCCTTGTTGATGAGGGGCAGGACGTTCATGGACATGGGCTTAGTCTGCTTCTCCATCTCCATGGCGGTATCGAATTTCTCGACGGCTTCGGAGAAGTTGCCTTGGTCGAGGAGTAGCTCTCCGTAGTAGTTGTAAACATCGGGGACCTTGGGGAAGTTCTTGATGCATCGTCGGAAAGTAGCCATTGACGAGGCAATCGAGCCCATCTTGTACTGGGTAACGCCGAGTTGGATGTGAGAGAAGATGAAGTCCTTATCGAGGTCGATCGACTTCTGGTAGTCCTTCTGAGCATCGGCAAGGTCGCCCTTGATGAAATGGGCCTGGGCACGGTGGTAGTAAACATCGGGGTCGTTCTTGTCCTGCTCGAGGGCCTTGGCAAACTCGGCCTCGGCCTTTTCAGGCTCACCAAGCTCCAGACTGATGCTAGCGCGCTTGATATAACTTTGCGTCATTGAGGGGTCAAGCTCGATGCTCTTGTCAAAGTCTTGTGTAGCCTCGGCGTGGTTGCCGAGCAGAGTGCGGAAAGTACCCCTCATGTTATAAGCAAGTGCTTCGTACTCACCCAGGTCGCCGAGCTCCAGGGCCTTTTCGAAAGCTTGTCGAGCCTCCTCATACCCATCACCGGTCTTCTTCTCCAAAGCTTGGAGACCAATCTGCACCTGTCCCTTGCCAGTATCAGGGTCCAGCTCTTCTGAGTCCTCAAGGCCTTCGGGGCGGGGCTTGGGGCGGAAGCTCTGAAGATAGTTGCCAACGAAGATGGGGCTGGGCAGCTTGGGTGGTCGGGAGGCCATCATCTCCTTGGCCTTTTGCTCGGCGAAGGTCTTAAGAAGGCGCTCGACAGCCTGTGCGGTGGACTCGCTCTTGAAGTTGTCGATGATGCATGAAGCTGTAAAATCGAGGAGAGCCTCGGAGTACTTCTTCTGATGCTCGTACGCAGTAGCGCGGCGGTTGATGGCCTTGACATAATCGGGGTCCATGTTGATGGCGGCGGTAGTATCCTCGATCACCTGATCCCATTCGCTCATGGCACTGTGGCAGGCGGCTCGGTTGGAGTAGAAGACAGGGTCGGCCTTGCAGAGGATGGCCTTGGAGTAAAGCTCGATAGCTTTGTTATACGACTTGTCGCCGTAGGCTTTGTTACCAGCCTGCTTCAGTTTGGCGGCGTAATCTTCACGCTGTTCTTGAGTAAGGCTAGAAACTGACTCCTCGTCGACGTCGGGCAGCTCCGGCTCAGTCTCAGCAGAAGCAGGCTTGGATTGGGAGGGGCCGGTTGAGGGTGCTTCTTTATCAGCTTTGCGATCGGCTTCCTTTCGCTTTCTCCTCTCCTTCTTGCTGATCTTTGGTGTTGTGTCCTTGGCGCTCTATAGATTTAGATAAAAAAGTTAGCCAATAATTACGGGAGTTTATGGTTTGGCATAGAGCCGCATCATTTGGGCGACATTATCAAGAACAGCGTCATCGAGTGGACGGCGGAGGGACATACGTTGTCATTGAGGTAGTAAATTACACCGGCACCCGTAACAGCAATGCCGACACCAGCAATGGTGTAGACGACAGTCTTGTTCTCTGACGCCCAGTGTGTTAACCGCTCCCAGAGACCAGAGGAAGGGTCGACGGGGACGAGGGTTGGCTGGCCCGGAGCCATTGACGGAGTTGGACCTGACATTGCAAAGCCTATGAATTAATAAAGAGGATCGGCGATATGGTGAGGGAGGAAGTGAGGCCGTCGATGCGGGATTGAAGGAGCTGAGAGAGAGGAGCCGATGATGTAGAGGCGCAGTATCAATCAAGCAAAACCAAAATTCAGTGCAGTGTAGTAGTGTAATGGTAGGCAGGTGGTAGGTTAGTAGGTAGCTTCGGGACGGGCTGGACGGGCTGGCTCAACCTTGGTCCCGTCGCAAGAAAAAGCTGAACGGGATGGCTGTGGTTCGAATTTTGGCGCGCCAGTGGTGGGGGTTTCGCGGGCCGGGTCCACTGAAAGTTTTTCCGATCAGCACCACCTGCAACTTTTAGTTTAGCAGTCTACGTAACTACAGTACAGTACCAGGGCAGGTCGCCTAGTACCTTAGTCGGTGCCTAGCAGTCTACAATATGCGTGTGAACTGAACTGGATTCGACATGATGTTCGCAGTGACGCTATGGATTCGATCTTCCCCATCCATGTCACTGCCCGTTGGGTCTGGCCTCGTTCGGTTTGGTCTAATGGCCATGGGTCTGCAGATGACGTCTATGCCTGAGGCACTCGGACGGAGGGGTCTATGGAAACTAGATTACGATTCTACGACTCTCTAACATAAATACTGGCCCATCCACCCATGCATGCATGACAAAGAACGGGAACATGCGAGGGATTTGTGATCCTTGATGCTCGCTTCAACTGCTTTGTCCTCTTTGCGGCCCCTGTCACTCATGTCTAGCGGTCTGGTGATTTCTGCGAATAATAAGGTGATGTGTTGCGGGGGTCTTTATCATGATTCGGCACTCTCTCATACAAACATACGTATGCACATATGTGTGTATATGTGCGTACGGATATTGTACCAGATCGATCTAGAAACTCCATTCATGATAGAAATTATGGGGGGACGCAGCAAGCGAATGCATGTTTAGGTGTGAATTCATTAGATGCTGTACATATATGTAATCTGCCCGCTCTAAAAAAGCATTTCCTTTAATCTTTCCAAGGGTCCATGTATGACTTAGGCTTGGCAGATGCTCGTCAACAACATATGTCAGTCAGTCACTCTTCAAAGCCAACATGACATCTCGATTATAAGAAGCTCCAGATAATGTGCCCTCAGTGCATTTCGTTTTCACTCGCCTTTGGGACACTCAATGACTAATCGTGCCCCATCGACGAGAATTATCCTATAACCCAATTTCTTCTTCTTTTCATACTCCCAACAAACTCTCTAAGCCAAGCCAAAAGCAAGTCATTCGGCTGATTGAGGAATCTAAACTAGGAAAAATGAGTGAGGATTTCTCTCTGTTTACTTCTATGAGGTACGACCCGAGACTTGAGCACATGAAAAGCATCGGGCTCGGTGACAAAGGCTGGAACTTTGAGAACAGCTCTCCTCTATATATGCTCGACTTCCACCGCGACCGGCTTCTCAGAGCAGCCACACATTGGAAATGGCAGCCTGCGATCGATAGATTATCGGGTGATAATGGCCTCTCCTCTCTGGCCCAACTCGTTTTAGACCATATTGAAACATCTCAACAAACGCCGTTGAAGATAAAATTAGTCGTGTCTCGACATGGCGATATCAAGGTTGAGCAACTCAAAATACCCGAAATACCCTTGCAGAATCTATTTCCAGCTCGGCTTCCACCCCCTGCCCGTGCTTCATTTGACGACGAACCTGGGAAGGCTACGGTTTTTAGCCTTCTGGTAGATCAGCCTACGACTACAAGGTCCGAGTATACCCACTTCAAAACTACAAAGAGAGATGTGTACGATGCTGCCCGACAACGCGCTAGTATAACATACGCGGATCTTGCAGAAGTCTTGGTCATCGACCAAGACGATGGATCTATTATGGAAGGTACATTTACTACACCTTATTTCTGGAGGAACAGACAATGGGTCACACCACCCGTTGCGGCCCATTTCAGTTGGAACGAAGGGAGTGGTGGTCAAGATGGGATATCCAGACGTTGGGCATTAGAAAGGTATGTGTTGATCGATGGCCAATACGAGGCTGGGTACTAACTCGAAACTAGGGGATTCGCTTTTGAGCGAGTGATCAATGTCAATTCTCTGGTTCATGGCGAGGAGTGTTGGATCAGCAATGGGGTCAGGGGCTTCATTGCGGCAACTGTCCATCTTCAATGATTGATTAAGCCTTGATACAACACTGACCAAACCCATTGATTGATAGTGAGGGTTATATATCCCCTACCCATTCCTGGAGCGTTTACAGTAGAAACATTAAATCACTTACGAACTCGAAGAGTTTAGCGGGAAGTTAATACAGCGAGTACCGTCATATATTTGGCAACACAAGACGAGGAACCGTTAGCTTAGGATAGGGCAGCAACAAGCCTGTATTCCTTTCTTGTTTGTGGCAAGTTAGCAATACGAATAACTCAAAGATTGCGCTTTTCACATACATGACTCCAGAAACAGACATGCTATCACGATATTATGTGGTAATTTGGCACGATGTTGTTAGACACCTAATTTAGGCGTGATGATCACATCTTGAACCCTTATTTGAGATCACAGAGACCACTTAACCATTCTACTGTTTATCCATCCGTATTAAAACTCCACTAGTTATTTGTCTAGTTTAAGCAGAAAACAACACCAAATTTGCTGTAGATACTAACCTGATGGCCATGGTGGTTGGAGTTGCCGGGTTGACTCGGAGGTGCAGGGTAACACGCAGTGACCAGTTGCACTTGACAAACAGACGCGTTTCTCAGAAACTTCAACACCGTGATTTCCTCCGAAAACTCCCATGATAAGAAGCGCTCCATAGTAAAAGGACAGCGATATCATTGATCGTAAAAGATCTGCTATTTCAATCCAAGCGCGGGCGTACCGCGCTTTACCCAGACTGCATAAATCGGCCGTTGTTGGTACGCGAAGTACAACCAAGGTCAATTAGCATCTAACAGGTGAGACAAATTTAATCGCCCCCAATTGTAGCATACCAGACTGGGTCGCCCAAGACTGCTATCTGGGAGCACGAATTGACAGAAAGGCTCTCAGAACAAAAATCAAAGAACGAACTATCTTTGACCTCCCTCCCAGTCATGACTTCTGAGACCCAGGAGGCAGCGATTGCTGAAGGGCGTCGGTTGTATGGCGCCAAACAATTCAAGCCTGCTCTCAAGCAGTTTACCATAGTACGTATCAAGCACACATATACTTGGAACCATTTCAACTACTGACATCCAAAAGGCGATGCAGCTTTGTGCGTGTACTCGACAAGGCAAACGCCCACGCTGCAGCTGCAAAAATTTCGAAAAAGTAGCATCAGAAGGTGGCTCAATCTTCAACGAGGCCATGTATACTTGCGAGTGCACAGTTCGAAGGATGTTCAACAAATGCGATAACAAGCTGCATATACAAGCCCTTGACTATCGTGCTGCAACATTTGAGGATATCAAGGAGCTTGAGCGGGCCCAAAAGGATGCAGAATGGATGCTAGAGCTCGCTCCAAGACTCCCGGATGTAAGAAATACCTTCCCGCATACAACTGCAGTATGTTTACCATTATAGGGTTACCTGCGACTTGGTAAGATACTGCGTCTTCAGAAAAAGTACGAGTTTGCCTGGAAAGTGTACAATGCAGGGATAGAGATGGGAAACAACCACCATCAAGCCGAATCGTCCAAGTTCAAGGTAGGTAGCCTTTACTTTGAAGCCTAGAGAAGCAATGTAATTGTACTGAACTGCCTCTAGAAACTCCAAACAGCCAGACAACCACTGCATACTCGGTTTTACCGTCGGGACCCATTGAAGAACCCCCCAGAGATTATCCAGCGCATATTCAATTACCTTGATTTTGCCGCTCTTGTGCGATGTACCCGTGTCTCCAAAGGATGGAGGCAGTATCTCTCTAGTCGTGGCAATGAACGCCTTTGGCGCGCTCTTCTGTTCACCAACAAAATTCCCATCAACCGCCCTCCTGGCATCAAGTCGATCAGGAAACTAATTTCCTATTCGGGCAAGGATGTCCGTCAGATCATGATCGATGATATCTCGCGCTTTAGACTCACTCAACAAAAGCTTCTCATCCTTTTGCAGGGATCAAAGAATCTTGAGCGTCTTGAACTCAAGGGCAGTGTTGAAGAAGATCTAACGATCCCTGATACAAAGGGCATCCTGAAGAAGTTGAACCATATCGCCCTCCAGGATATTCTGATTAGGAAGCCCCGAATATTGAGTCCACTCCTAAAACAAGCCAACGAGAGTTTACAGAGCTTGTATATCAACGGCTTGCCACAGTCTGGCTTATACAGCGACCTCCAGTTCCCTGATTTACCCAACCTACAGTACTTGCGCATTGAGGAGTTTTCCGGACCGAGCCCTTTCAGACTAAGCACAGTGAGTTTTGGTTAAATGGCAACTAGTATTTATGGCTAATTTGATACAGTGGCGGATAGCTCACAAGACACCATGCCTGCAGCAACTCTACCTCCAGGACGTGCAACTCTCAGCCGAGATTCCCACAGATACGGGGCTTGATAACTACTGGCCAAGATTGAGAGCAGTTACAGTGCATGGGTCTGATGCTTGTGATTTGAATACTACGCAAACCATTCGGCAGCTTACCTCGCTGCGAGGTAGGCATACGCTACAATACATGGACTTCGACTTTCGATGGAAGCTCGATCACGAGGGCCCGCTTGGTCTCACAGTCCTTTTGGGGACACTGAACCAAGAGCCGGGAATGCTTACAACAGACGAGCATAATAAGAACTATCAGTATACAGACCTGCGATCCCTGCGTCTTCGTCGAGCCATGGTACCTCCATTGAAGCTTCAAAGGGTGCTTCGTGATACTCTCGCAGCACAGAAGCTCCATACCTTGGATATCGCCTTTCCTCTCGACCATCAAGGTGCTCCTGAAGGGTCTGCCAGCACCCAACACATCCAAGATCATTCGTGGCTTCGTGGAGACTATGGCATTAGGTGTATCGGCCTCTCAGAGTTCAGATTCCGTGCGTACCCTAAAACTGATGACGAAATGTATCTGCCAGGTTTTTTAGCCAGCTTCCCTAACCTTGAGGTCATCGAGATTAATTCGTCACACTACGACCAGCGCGAATTCTGCACCATGATTGATGCTATCCTCAAGGTTACCCACTTGAAGAGAATATATCAAAAGACTGTTCTTGGTGACTGGAAAGACAAACTCGGTGAGGCAACTAGAAAAAAAAGAGTGGAACTAATTTGGGGGGACAGACCTCGAGAGTGGCCACTTGCGCTGGGGAACGATTCTTGAGCCTTTAAGGGGTATTGTGTGTTTTCGAACCTGGCTCCTGAAGATAGTCTAGATTGGATACTGGTGGAGGCTTCATCTCAGTCCAATCTCACTACACGGAGTCCTCCGTCCTTACAGATGGCTATGCCAAACTTTTATGGGAACAATTTTACATTCAGAAGTACTCTTTTCTACATTCTCAATATCCTGTGCCGCAATACCACGAGTAAAAATTTTCCGCACTCGAACTCTGCAAACCTCTACAACTTTAGATATCGATCCCAAGTCTAGGCGCACTGATGCTAACACCCCCTACCATAGTCTAAATCTTTATGACGAGCAGAATTCCTACCCGCCTAGGCTCTTCCGACCTTAAAAGACAAGACCTGCACATATTTGTCAGTAGAGAAATTGTAATCAGGGAGTTCGTGACCAACATCATTCTTGCCTACAGCAACGGTATCGTCTTCAGATACTCGGATATTTCCAGCACCTTCAACAAAGGCAATAGGTGCATCACCCATAACTTTGCGGGCCACATCTCCAACCGTGCTCCCTTTCTTAACAAGAACGCAATCTCGGAAGACAAACTTGGACTCTGAGGCGCCAGAGCTGAAGGTGGACGTGTTTCGGACAGGGAAGATAGGGACGAGACCAAGCAGCTCGGCGGCTTTCGAAAGCACCTGTACAACGCCTGTAGATCCAAAGCGGTAGAGTACCATGTCCTTGAGGTTCTCAATTCGGGTGCGATTCTTCTCGTCGAGGTCTTTGAGACCGCCGCCAGTAGGATCACCCTGCTCTATCAAATCCTCTTTTGTATCAACGAATTCGCTACCTTCAACATACTTGACGTAGCCCTGCTTGGCCATCTTTCGCAAGAAAATTTCTGAGATAGCCGAGCACAGTACAATGGTGTTTGGGTCCTGCTGCTTAGCAATTTTGGCGATGTTTTTGTCGGCATCCGGATGATCAATCTTGTTGAGCGCGATAACTGTGGGAAACTTTTCGTCGATGAAGGCATTGACAACCATCTCGACAGTCTCGTTCGACCAATCCTCCAAAGGCTCCTTGACACCGCAACGGTCCAAAGCACGATTCACAGTCGTCGATGTTGATCCGTAACCAGAGAACTGACCCTGCAAAGTTTCTGTAGCTGTCGCTTTGATGGCTTGGTGTCTTCGTCGGATAGATCCCCATTTCTGCATAAGATTACCGAGAACCCAAGCTACAATCTCGCTGCGCAGCCATGCAATATCCACTGAGGGGTCATAACCTCTTGTCTCCTTACCTTCCGCATCAACAGTACCGGAAACATCAACAACGTGGATAAGGGCATCTGCATGACGCAAGTCGTCAAGGAACTTGTTGCCTAAGCCACGACCCTCGTGAGCACCAGGAACCAGGCCAGCAACATCAAGAAGTTCGATAGGCACAGAACGGCGACCCTCCACACAGGCACCGTAGTTGGGTTTGCATCTGTCTGACACATTGAAACGGGTGCAAGCACACTCGATCTGAAGGTAACCAATAGCTCGCTGAGGATCAATTGTAGTGAATCTGAATGCACATGTCAGCTTTCGCGACAGATACCAGCTTACAAGAGCACATATAGCCAAGCACGAAGAAAACTAAGGAGCATAGAACAAGGGCGAAGCATACGGGAAGTTGCCTATGTAACTTGCGATCAGCGCCAAGTTGCAGTAGTTTTGGCCAGGGTCTTTCTACCAACCAACTTTGGATGTGGCGTCCGTCAAGCTGTTGAGCGTCGAGCTCTTACCAGCCGAGGGCTTTCCGACAAGGCCAATGAGGGGATCTCGAGGCATGGTGGATGTGTGCTGGTGTACTGATCAAGGGTTTGGTATAAGGCTCAAGTAACGATTGGGTAGCTAAATTGAGCCTTGGATGTGTAAGACCAGGGTTTTGATTCCACAATGAGGGCCGACGGCAATGCCAGGAACAGAACAATACTGGTCCTGCTAGTGTTTGGCGACTTTGTATATGCCAGAGTATGTCGTATTTGGTTCCAGTTTCGTGGAAATAAACAGCGCAGAGCTTGATATAGTATGTAAAGAGATAAATCTACGTGACTCCATAGCATCGAATCGAAGCCTCACAGCGTAAAATTAGTTCTCGGCCTAAAGAGGCTGAAGTGGGCCGATTTGATTTTTTTTACAGTGCTAGATGGCTATAATCCGGATTTGCCGAAACCGGATCTTTCCTCTGCCCATTCAAAGTTGCTTAAGAGTGTGATATCCGGGGCAAGAACGAATAAACAGGTTATGTCTCTTACTCTTGTTTAAAAGCTCCACTTACCACTCAACACCATCTTGTCACCTTTCTCTTATATCATGTCGCCAAAATCGACTCTCCCCATCGACGTCTTTCCCACTTGGGCACGTTTCAATGACGTGGATTTTGTTAATGCCAAACTACAAGAAATGGATGGAAAGGGAATTGGGCTAGCCGCCGTTAATAGCTACGACTTGACTGAAACAGCAGCTGCAGAGGATGAAGGCAATGCAAAAGACTTGCGGCATGGGGAAGCTGAAGCCTTACTGCGAATCCCTCACGATCTGATTCTCTCAGCCTCCACAGTTGAGGATTACGCCAAGGTTGATCAAAACTTCCGCCAACTCATGGAGTCTGTAGGGCATAATGTAAGACTGCGGCCGAGTGCATTAGACTCCTGGACTGGCAAGGTCTACGGACCCGTCTAAGCACGAGCTGATCTTGTCATAGTCGACACGGGGTAATATTCTGCTTTACCTCTTGGCGCATCTTGTTCTGTCTGGTCGGGATGCATCGAGCCCGAGAGGCCCTGCGTCAACACCATGGACAGAGTATCTAAAATTCCTGCCTCGTGACGTTCCTGTCCCAACAATGTGGTCGGAAGTTGAGCGAGCTCTTCTCCAAGGCACATCGCTAGAGGTAAGTGCTTTTGCAAATACGTGAACATGTACGGAGTTGTAGACTCGGTAGTTGCGGAACCGCAGCAATTTTTGACGGACGCTGTGACAGACAGAGAGTTTCCCCGCAACAGAACAAAAGGACCCTAACAATACTATAGGCTGCATTGGAAGCCAAATTCTCATCTCTAAGTAAGGAATTTGACGATCTGACCGAGAAATCGTCGGTGCTGCCTTTTTGGAATTCCTTGTTTTGGGAGAAGGGAATGGTGACCATCCAAGACTGGATCTTGGTTGATGCATGGTACCGATCACGTTGTTTGGAACTACCTCGAGGGGGAGACGCCATGGTCCCTGGACTTGACATGGCCAATCACTCGCACCATCCGACCGCTTACTACGATGAAGATGACAAGGATGATGTTGTTTTGCTAGTACGACCTGGGACAAAGGTGTCGGCGGGGGAGGAAGTGAGCATTTCGTACGGAGAGAAAACCCCCGCAGAAATGCTCTTTAGTTACGGGTTTATTGACAGCGAGTTTGCTGTCGAGGGGCTCAGCCTGCCCGTGAAAGTACTTCCTGATGACCCATTGGGTAAAGCCAAACTTCACATCTTTGGCAGGTCACCCTCTCTCAAATTGTCTCGGTCAGATGGGGAAATAAATTGGCAATGCCCCTTTGCGTACCTAATGTGTCTGAATGAGGAAGATGGCCTCGAGTTCAAAGTCCTTCAAGGAGAGGACGGAGGGAGGGAGCTAAGGCTTCTCTGGCAAGAAGAAGATGTGACGGCTCAGGTAGGCCACTTTGAAGATCTCATCAAAAATCACACCCTCTGCCAAATCTTTAGGCTTCGAGTGGTTTCTGTCTTGCATGAGGTGGTGTCCAACCACCTTGTGGAACTCTCCTCCGAAATCTCCCATGATCAACTTGAGCCATTACGCCTGGATGGGCTCGTGAGGGATAGCCGTCTCCAAGCAGCAGAACAGCTCAGGGCGATTGAGGCTGGTGTGCTGGAAAGCGCTGCTGTGGCCATGGATAAACAGGTACGTTCTACTCGAAGCGATTGGTTTTCTTTTTTTTGTCTTTTTTTTTTCTCTCTCTTTTTTTTCTTTTTTTATTTATTTAAATTACAAACCCGCGGAATGTTTCCTCAGTAAAAGGAAGAAGAAAAAACATCGATAAGTCAAGTGGTCTTGGAGATGGATAGGGTGGTAGGTGTGCTGATGAAGTTTGCATCACTCATGGTTCGTGGACAACCTAAGGTTCATCGCTAGCCGGCAGTTCAGAATGCCTTGGCGTTTTCCCCAGATTCTTCTTTGAACCCCGGAATCTCCCCTCGAAACGACAAGGGGACTTCCTCCGCATTTTTGGCCTGCTAGTTCATCAATACCGAAGCCCAAGAGGGACGCTCGGTCAGACACCGAGCTTCCTCCACACAATTCAACGTTTTTTTGTTGTGCATTTAGAAGAACAAAACGACTAACAAAATGCGTCATTGGTACGATATAGAGGACCCATCTTTTTGCGGACGACCACGTGGTAGCTTATCTCGGATCGATGGAAGCTTCTCAAAACAGACAAGCGTCGGGAGATGAAGCCAATGATGAGGACGATTTTAGCTGACCGAATCACACCTTGTCTCATTTCATCGGCTACTGTTGAACATTACCGATTTGACTGTGCGGGGGGAATCGGCAATTGTTTGGACTACCAGGCTCTACATACAGGTGCTCGCGTGTCAATTGATTGCCCGGAATACCGGACGCTTGGTAGGTATGACGAGACTCTTGCGGGGCCGTCTTTGTCTTTATGACTTTATGTACTGTACCCAACTTTAGATATTGACATCCTGGCAGGATGCGGAAAATTGTGCATTCAAATGAAGTCCTGGGAAGCTATCGAATCCTCAAATGCTTCGCCTAGGTGTTTATTTCCTGGAGCATGTTTCTATCAACAAGAAAAATGCTACCTAGTCAGTTGGTTCCATTTTCATGACCCCCCAAATAAAAAGGACGATCGTACCAACCGGTTCGGTAGGCGCGCATTGCATCGAGGTCTAAGCAAAACCAAGTGGGAAGACTATTTTCGAGCAGTTATCCTCGAGATAGAAAGCGCGAACCCGAATTTGGAACCTTCGAGGAATATGATACAAGTTCTAGGTGGAATACTGTGCAGTTACTCATGATGTTGAGACACATGACCCGATCGGCTGGCCAATTAGACAAACAAGACTCGACTTGCTTGTAGCTTTCTATGAACGGGGAGAATATCACACTGGATAGCTCTGGTGATATAGAAGCTGTCATATAATTTCTACCAAAGCCATCAAGTAAAATTACTGAGCGTATCTGTGCCTACTGTGCTCACTGTGCAGCCCGAGTACCCAACAAAGCGTGAGGGAGTTTAGTTCCGGCAACAGCCAAGCCATACGACCAGGGAATATCCCGAGTAGATGCACTGCATTCATCGAAAGTCTAACCCCAGGTTTTTATCCTGCATCTGGGTTCTGTTAGACTACGATCTCTATTCTCGCATTGTCGTGGAGAAGCACAATGAAAAAGAGCCAGTTCCGCTTACTACATTCACGCCTAAACCAATACTAGACATAACCCCTCCCCTAAAGTATGGGATGGGTTCATCTTCTAGTTAACGAGAAATGAATTGCACAGGAATGGTGATCGGAGTACAGATAGGCATTCAAGATCATAATTTGGGTCTTGGGTGACGAGAATAGATACGAGCCCTCTTCTCAAAAGGAGTGGTTATTTTAGGATAATAGCCTCCTAGTTGCAAAGACCAGTGTCGGTGGTTGCAACGAGTGGCATGGGGAGACTGTATCCGCACTGGTATTCGATACGATTCATGAAGGTGTGGCCTTGAAGGCTACAGGAGAAAATTTGGATGGCTATTCGCGGTTGAGCTGAATTAAGACTGATGAGACAAACCCCCTTTTCTAGGTTTGATTTCTTTTTGGTTAATGGGTCCTGGTTAATGAGTCGTGTCAACGTGAACCCATCACTACCTACTACCTACGTGTCTGTAGTCGAAAAACAATTCACAATTCCAGGGCCCAACTGTACGACAGGTCGGGGTCAGGACTAGGAACAAAGGTAAAGATTGCCTAGCTGCGGATCACCCTTTGATCTGCGTCAGCTAGTGAACGACTGCGGCTCCGATGTGGGTCTCTCGATTGCGGCTCCCCCAGCCCTGGAGGGACATGCAGGCTCGAAACTAAGTCAGTACATACACACGTACATAGGAGACCAGCATTGTTTCCAAGGCTACATCAATGTTTGATGTGAAAACTAGGAAGCCCAGACGTGCACTCAATCTCGAGGCGCGACTCAAAGCTTGGACCTGGGCCGCAGCAACTTGGTGGCCCGAGGACAAAAATGTCTGATCTACATGAACGAATCGGAAAGCAGCAGGGCGATTCTTCACCTTGGTGCCTTATACAATACACCCACTATACTCACAGACTTCCACCGCGGTGAGCATACCGGTGTCGTGTCTCTGGTTAGTGTCAATATGCGCTGCACCACCGTAAACTGCATTGGAATTAGGTCAGCCCGTCCATTCGAAGCCTTCTCCTTGCCTTTCTTGCCTTCACCTGCGTCACAATTACACAGTTTTACGGCCGATTGTATGTGCAATGTAAAACGTCAGGATCTGCGAGGACGGGAGAACAACAGTTGAGTCAGGAACCTCGCAAGAAGGAACGTAAAACTGGCTCAAGCGTCAACTATCTAGTGTGTGGTGGCTTCGTGGCCAGCCTTGTCCGACCAGAACCAAGCAACTAGATTCAACAACCGTATTTAATTAAATAAACAGCGAGGTACTACGCAGCTTTTGGCTTTAACAGTATTGCCAGGACTTACTGTATGGCCAATCTACCATGATCGAAGCTGGGGTTACAACATATGGCGGGGGGAGTCAAGGATTCATTCACCACGGTGACATTCTGTCTCTCTTGAGATATGCAGGGCATCGCGGCTTGTTGGAGGATCCTACAGTTAGGGTCGCCCAGTACGTGACCGAAAGGGGAACCGCTTTGCGGCTCCGTCTGTTATACAGATGCAAGACGAATCAAGTAATGACAGTTAGTGAGCAAACGCTCCGTCTACACTAGGTCAATGTTGGTACAGTATCACACAGGACAAACATATGGATACCTTGGGGCGGCACGGAAAGAAAAAAAGCATTGACCCTAGTAGCCATGTGTTCTCAGAAACTAATGCACTGAGGGCTGTGATGTGTGCCTGAATACATACAAGTAGAGGAAAGTAAGCAGCTCTAGTTCAGCGGTAATTTAGAACTTCCAGCTTGAAGGATCAATGGGGGTGGGTACCGAATACATACCAGATGTACGTTGTTGCGGTCAAGGCCAAGGCCAAGTTTGCTCCTTAGTGAGTTTAGTAAGTGAAGCATAAGCCCAACTTTGGGAGATTTACTTGACGATGAAGGTGAAGGAGAACAGCTGACTATTGCAACTCAAAACATGGTGATACCAGTCAGAATATGTTTCCCCGCATTCTCATTCTGAGGGCTTACCAGGTACATGGATTAAGAGTGCTTACATCAATAGCATTCTCAAATAATCTGGGGTAAGAAACCCTATGTTTGTCTTTGAAGAAATGGTCTGGCATAGAGGCGGGAAAGGCCGGGAGGGTGTGAAGTAGTGGGCTGTTGTTCACGTTTCGGAGTGTTCTAGAGTCGTGCGAGTGGTGCCACTTCCAGACCTGGAGGTCAAAGGACTTCTGCGGGCTGTAATCAGGAGATGAATGGACATGATAGGATTGATATCGATATCATGATGGCTTTACCTTGGAAAATGCGTTCTAGATTCAACTTACAGAGAGATACATATGCATATTCATAAAAAGGCCAGGATATGCTACCTCGGGTCAGTTTGACCTCGGTAGGGTTGGCCTTGAGCTAGCATTGGTTGATAAATACTCGCTGGCGACTCCTTTATGTTCCCAAGACATTTCCATTCTCCTCCAAGGAAACATGGGTATGGTGTAAAGGTCTGAGAGCTCACTTAAGTTGAAGCTGAGTTGTAGACTACTGAGTTGAGATGCAACCCAAAGGGGGCAGAGTCGAATACCTATTCCGAGTATTGATGGTTTTAAAACTACAGGTGTTTTTCTATGAACACGCCCTGAGATGTCCCAACCCACGCTAGGATCATCGTGGACGGCAGCTGCGGCTGTAAGTACTGCATGTACCTGTCCACTAAAGTTGGGCGCTCACAGCACATCTCGGTACCTACGAAGCTGCCTTCCTCCACTTTCGGGGACCTAGTGCAACGAATCTTGGGAAACCCAGTGGGAACCGCTCCTCAGTTCACACTGTATATTTTCTGGGCGCATCCATCAATCGAGCTCGACATCTGCATCGAACAGATGCCTATTGGACATGACAAGACGTCAACCATGTGCTCTGCAACGTCTCGCACACACTGTAACTTTCCCATCGTCATGGTCAACGCTTGGCCAGGTTGCCCAGACCAAAAGACTGGTATTGGGACGCCAAGAGGACGCCCCCATTTGCAGATTGCACCTGTACCAGAAGATAAGTCTCTTCATCTCATGGACCCATAGAACTTAGCTTAGGTACCTAGTAGGTGGTGCCTAGCAATGCTGCTAAGCATCCATCAAAAGACAGGCAAGGATGGCATTGACCCTCCACTTCGTCCCTGCCCTGGTCTTCCCCCAGGATTTCCACTTCTGTCTCCACCCCTCAAGGACAAGACTCAACCCATTCCCATTTCCTCATTTCTACTAAATCTTGCTCTTTCCCACCCCAGGAATCCTGAATCTTATCTTTTTCCCTCAATTTACCTTTCATCTTTACCATTATATTCCTTCCTTCCTCTTGGGCTGTTCTTTGTTCAATACCTATATATATATATATCCACATCATCTTGTCTTCTCCATCCAAGATATCCATACGTCTATACTTTATACCACGATTTTACCTAAACCCCACCAATCAAATCATCCACTCACAACTCACCTTCACTCACTTAGTCTATCACCTAAATTGCTGGGCTGTGATTTAAAGACCTCGGCTATTCCATATCTACCTACCCAGCCAGGTACACAATACCGGAAACATTCGAAAACTCCGATTTTCACGATTTAATCGTGAGTGACTCAGTTGGCGACAGGAAAGACACGATATCGCAAAATATAATAAATACCTAGGGAATAAAGCAATCCTGGCGACCTGTCATCGCTTTTCTCTCGGCAATCCCGCCGCTTCTCTCATACAACTCCATAATAATACGATACGACACATTCACAATCATATATAATCACCAAAATGCCCGGAATTCTTCCCATGAAGGTCATCAAGGTGGGCACTAGCTCTCAGAGCCGGATTGCCCAGGCTTGTGATCGATGCAGAAGCAAAAAGATCCGCTGTGACGGAATACGCCCAACATGTTCCCAGTGCGCCAATGTCGGCTTTGAATGTCGAACAAGCGATAAACTCAGCCGTCGCGCATTCCCTCGTGGATATACCGAATCTTTAGAGGAACGCGTGCGACAATTAGAAAGTGAACTTCGGGAGCTCAAGGATTTGTTAGACGAGAAGGATGAAAAGATCGATATGCTTTCCAAGATCCACGGCAACCGATCAAGTCTTTCCATGCCTGTTAGCAGCCCTGCTGTCCCAGAACCCCGGAACGAAGCCCAAGTTACAAAGGAGGACACCTTCCGTGTACAGGCAGCGCCTTTATTACTCGGGGTTGAGAATTCTGACTCTTACTTCATGGGCGCATCCAGTGGTCGCATGTTTATAGGTAATTTCCCTTCATGGTTTTCCAATCGACCTGAACTAACGTACCCAACAGACGCCTTCAAGCGTAAAATCCAAGAAGCCGGAAAGCCCAGCACCGACTTCAACACGGAAGCGTTCTTGCATGTCCAAGGCTGCAAGCCCCTTGGTCACAAGTCCTCTGAGCAGTCCCTCGTAGCTCCTCCTCGCATCTTCTCGGACCGCTGTGTCAACGTTTACTTCCAAGAGTGGGCACCTCTCTTCCCTATCCTCCACAAACCCACGTTTCTACATGTCTACGAGGAGTTTGTTGCCGACCCAGAAAAAGTCAAGAGCGGCCACAAGCTTGCACAACTCTACCTTGTCTTCAGCATTGCTGGCCTCTCATCAGAAAACCCCGATCTCTCCCAACTTGTCGCCTGTGAGCAACAATGGCAGGCTGCTCTTGAAGCTATTTCGATGGAGAATACAATGAATACCCTACAATGCCTTACTCTTTCTCTTCTCTACTGCACAATACGTGCCGATTACAAGCGACTTCAACACTACAAGGCCATTGCCGTCAGTCTCTCTCATCGTCTGGGCTTGCATCAGAGCCAGAAGAGATTCTCTTTCGGTGCTCTGACAATCGAGACCCGCAAGAAGGTCTTCTGGACTCTCTACACTCTCGACTGTTTCTCTGCTGCTACTCTTGGTCTTCCCAAGCTTCTCAAAGAGGACGAAATCCAGACTGAATACCCATGCGACACCGACGATGAGTATGTGACTGAGAAAGGCTTTCAGCCTACTCTCCCTGGCGAGTATACTCGCTTGTCTAATGCACTGGCCCTGTTTCGTGCGACGCGAATTCTTGCCAAGGTACTAGAGAAGAACTACCCCGCCTCAAGCTCCTACGAGATATCTCTTCAACAGATGGCTTCTCTTGAGAGTGAGCTGGATGCTTGGTACCATCAGCTGCCTTCTCATCTGAGACTCAACTTTGTTCAAGACAAACCGTCAACAGATGTGACTGGCAGTCGCTCGCCTCTATTAGCTCTGGCTTATTACTACATCCGCACGCTCATCTATCGTCCTGCCGTTGGCTCCAGTCTAGGTTCCAAGGCGGCATCAGCCCTGATATCAATCGGATCATCGAGTAAGCACATTGTTCAGATTCTTCAGCTGCTTGAAGAGCGTGGCATGACTTTCTCATTCTGCCTGAACAAGACTGATCTACTGGTGATCTGCGGCATGACGTTGCTCTACCACTCAATTGATCTCAAACAAGACAGTAAGATAATGCGCGATGACGAACGGTTGGTAAATTCTGTGATCCACATCTTGGAGAAGGCGGATGCCTTTGGGTCGTTCGACTTCAAGCGTGTGGCCAGTATGCTTGTCACTGTTGACGAATCCGCTGGCTCGCCGATGCACACTTCACGTGAGGTGTCTGCGCCAATTTCTAACCGAGGCTCGCCACCAACCGGAGCCGTCTCGAAGTCCAAAAAGAAGAGAAACACAGCCTATCCTTTCGGTCAGCTCTCGGCCGCTGCATCCAGCGAGAGCAACCTTATCGACCACCAGGAGAGGATGCGTCGCATGACGATGCCATGTGAAACTGAGTCTCGACCCGATGTTTACCGTGCTCGGTCTCGTCAGTCTTTTGACAACCTCCATACCGAGGCTCATGTGGCTCGGCGAGGTCATCGTATGTCGGCATCTCCCAGACCTGAGCGCGAGGCTTCACCTCTGTCTCGCAACCTCGACTTCATGCCCTTCGCCCACCCCTCGCAGTCACCGCAGCCGCTCTCACCCCACCAGAGCCGCATGCACTCTCATTCTGGAGTGACGCCTCAGACCAACCATATGGTTGTGAATTCTTCTATGGCTGCCGCGAAAATTAATGGAGTTTCGACGACTGAATGGGAGACCCTTCTAGGGTCAATGGATGGTGGCATGAACAATGTTTACGATGCCATCTACGGTGGGCAGGGACTTGTTAATGAGAGTGCGATCGCTGTAAGTAACTGTGGCGATTGGCCTCCTGACAACTGGGACCTAGGCGGCTTCAATATCACCGAGTTTGGAAACAATCCGCAACCTCCTCAAAGCGTCCTCAGCATGAGTGATGAAAGCCTTAGCTCGGGTGAGGAGGTTGGCCCCTCGGAACTAGGATTGAGCGTTGACAGTGTTGACTACCACAACCACATGGTGGCCCAGCAGCACGGCCACGAAGGATATGTGATTTCTGACCGAATGGATACGTTTCCTATTTAGTTGTGGCGTTAAAAAAGAATATGATACCTTGGGTTGGTGGTGTTGTTAAAAATTGGGCGTTCAGGCACTTGGTTAACTTGATAGCGTTGACTTTGGTTTATGAAAGTTGAAACGATTTTATGATATTTGAGAGACAGCTGGGGCTTTCCAGTGGGTCTCTATTATTATTATTATTATTATTATTATTGGATTAAGAGTTTAAATATCTGATCAATTTCACTTCAATATCTAGGACATGGATTCGTCAGGCATTGTCTATTATTATTGACTCCAATCCTCGCCGGTTTAACAGTGAATAGAGAGTCCAAAGACAAACCTCACAATGCAGCGAGGCTAGGGTACCTAGTTGCAGGCTTGCTGTATATTACTACAATGAAACAAGCATTGCAATCATTTCGAATTATCTGAGTGGCGTGACACCAGTTATCGTCCCTTGTCAGATCCACTGCCTCGGCATCGTTTAACGCGGACAACAGAGCTATGTACATTGCGGTACCTCAAGGTTACATTTAAAGTATGTACAAGTCGACAAGACGTGGCCAAGGAAAGCTTGACTGAAGTACGGAATCTGCAAACGGTGTCACAATTGTACTGCTCGCAAGCTGAAAAGGCACCTGTGGTCAAACGAGGCTAGTGAAAGTACACTGTGGCCGTGCATGTATTTGCTTGGAATGACGTCTCTAACTACAGCCTGTGCCGTGCTGTACCTACCAACGTAGATCTGTTGCTTTCCCTTCTGGCGGTGGATCTAATTAATGGGGAAGGATCCATTAACCATGACACATGACAGGGCAATAGTGTCCATGTCTATGTCTTGCCGTCTCTAGGATCGATGAATACGGGATACCTTAATCACAAAAGGTGTTTTCGTCGGTTCTCTTGGTCACTCCATTGCTGGGGACGTTATTGCGGGAGGGCAGTTGAAGCAGCTTCTCTAATTCTCCCACCGAAGAACCTTTATCAATTTCCACGATCAACGACTACAATGACGACGCAAAGACGAGTTCTTGCTAACAAGGATGCCCAGTCAGCGGCTGTCCCTCAAGGTGAGAGACAAAGCAAGCTTCTGCAGCACGCAACACCTCTAAATGATATCCGTACCACAGCGCCGTGGGCTGTCGCACGTCCATCACTGAGGGATCCCTCCCGTCGACTTCCACAGGCGATTGCTCATCGCGGCGCAAAGGTCGACTGGCCAGAAAACACAATGGCTGCCTTCCGAGGTGCAGTTGCAGCCGGGGCGCATGCTATAGAGACAGACGTGCATCTCTCTTCTGATGGTATAGCCGTTATATCACATGTAAGTCAAACCTCGACACCCATTGGTCGCTACAAAATGCCAATCTACCCTTGCCCTGACCGACTATACTGGGCTCATCTGATCTGTAGGTAGGATCCATCGCTAAAGCGTTGCTTCGGGGTAAACGCACGTATTGCAGAATGCTCGTGGGAATATCTCAGCACTGTGCGTACAGTATCCGAGCCCCATGAGCCCATGCCGCGACTTAAAGACTTCCTTGAATGGTTGGCCGAGCCCGAATTAGAAAAGATCTGGGTTGTTCTA